CATCTCCTCCGAACCAATTCACGGTGCTCTACAGTTCTTCTTTTATCATCTGCCGCAACGAGGAATATCCCCGACTTAGTCACCTGATGGATCCATTTATCACTGAAACTTTCATGGCTCCTGCATTACGTATAAATACCTTAGCTTGCTTCCTGACACCTTGCTTAATTTATCCTCATGCTCTTTTCCCATAGTCTTATCTCCCACTCCTTACCTTCACCAAATTACTCCTGATTCTCTGCTCACCAAAGCCACTGTTTAAGCCTACCTTTTTCATCTTGGTTGCATCCCTCGCGTCTCCTCCAGTGTCACTTGCATCCCTCATTCCTCGTCTGAAGTACTGACCTTGCTGCACTGCCTTCCTACTATTTGTAGATTTGTAGATAACTACACAAACTGGGAGTTCACCCTGACACTTTCCTCTGTTACCTCATCCTCCTACATACAATCTCCCACCTGATGGCATCGCTGCGTGCTGCTGATTTTAATCCCTAAAACTCTTGAATCAGTTTCTTTATCTCTTCTTCTAACGCGACAGCAGTCTGTCCATTAGTCTATTCAATGAATGCTTAGTTTGCATTTAAACCATAAAATAATCCATTAATGTATAATATTGTACTAATGTATGTTAGTTTCATTTCTGATCTGCAGTGCAGTTTAATTAAATCATTTTCATACACTAATTGTTTTTTATTAGCCTAAGAATAAAAGTAAAAAATACTTACCATCCCTGCAAGTTGATCAAAACTCAAGGTTGATTATACTATCTAGGCTTTTCGTCCATACCAGATTAGCTATTGATCAGGCTATTTCCTGGCACCCTGACCACTTTGGCCTTCTATCAAATCCTCAGACATTTCATTTTTTTCCTGTGCCTCAGAACATTTGACCACATTATGTATGCTTTTTGCAATATCTTTGACTCTCATAAACCATTAGCTTTAGGCCTATCTCCAACATCTTAATGTAAAACATAATTTTTCCAGATGAATTTTTTTTTTTGGTACCGAGGATTGAACTTGGGACCTTGTGCTTGTGAGGCAGGCAGTGGCACCACCGAGCTAAATCCCCAGCCCAGGTAAATTATTTTCGATGCCCTATAAACTCTATTCTAATATCGCTTTGTACCTCTTAGTTGTGAAATTACATAATCTCATCTTTACCTGCATACTTAATTGATTGCTGTCTCCTCTGTACTGCATGCCTTTATAATGGCAGTAACTTTCTAGATTTTGTACACTATTCTCATCTCTTAGCACAGTGGATTCCAATTTCCATATAACCACTTATTTCTGTGTGACTAAATAACTTAGCTTTAAGTCTCTCTTTATGCATTTATACATTAGTATATTATTTTATGGTTTATATGCAAATGTTAGTAAAGGTCTCTGCATAATGTGTTGCACGTAGTGTTTGTTAGTGACATTACTTCGCTTATCATCATGTATGAGAGGACTTTCTAACCAGTTTCATTGGCTGTAGGCCATATCTCCCCTTTCAGAAGTATGATTGTGTATGGTCCCTCTGATACTTCAGGCAGAGAAAATCATTAATAAGTGCATCCTTACTGCCTGGACTCTTCACAAGTGAGTCTCTACCACTTCTGTCTTTCCTGTCTCTATGATCCTGTTCCTTTCCCTGTCTCGCTTGCCAAAATGAATTTCCTAGCTTATGGAGCACACCGTTTTACAAGTACACTTTGGTGTAAATAAATGTAGAAATAAAGAGGACTAAAGAAATGGCCATGGGTTAAAAAGATGGACCTGTCACTTAGAACTGCTTGACCTCAGCCTTGTGTTCCCTGAGAACAGCCACAGGTTGAAGAGCGCAAGTGAGGTGTACTACAGGCCAATAAAAAATAAACCCTTCACAGATCTCCCTGGGAAGGTATTCTGGTTTCCCCTGGAAGATGTGAAACCAAAAGTTAATAGAAATTGGCATTTATGCAGAAGATGAACCAAAAGAAGGAAATAAACAAAGCAAAAAGTGTATCCCCTTCCCAAGATGATTATAAACTCTATGTACTGTAAATATATACTAGGTTTTTTAAAAGATACTGGAGGAAAGGCAGTACCATTCATGCAAAAATAATGTGGCTCCTGGAGACATTGGTTTGTCCTTTCAAAATCTACTCTTGAAAGCCAGATATTCCCCAGGACTATTTAGTCATGTAATGCCAAAAAATTTACTTTCTAAGTATCAGCTCCATAGAATTTGGTTTTCTGTCATGTGCAATCAAAACAATATTGGGAGATTTCTGACCGGAAACATAGGTGAAAGTTAAGCAAATTGATAGACAGCTGCGTGTATAAAGAGAAAGGAAAATCCTAGCCAAATCCAGGTCCAACACAAGAAGGTCTGGAACATCCTGTGTTTGGGGAAGTGTACATAGAGATTGACTCTTGTTTTCAGTGGAAACGAGAAGACATTACCGCCCAATCTTAGTTTACCTATGTCTTGAGAGCTAAAATTCCCCACAGTTCTTGTATGTACTTTGTACATCATGGTCTAAGAAAATTTTAAATTGCCAAGTGAATTAATGAAAATATGAAAAAAGACAGTGATTTCCTAGAGGAAGAAAAAAATTCGCAGGGGAGCAGGAAGGAAAACAAGTCTGATTTCCTCCCTTGCTGCTTTAAATGAGTGAAGAAAAACACTGAATTGAAAACTACCCACTGGCTACTGCACAAATATTAGTGTCATAAAGCATGCCAATTAAAAATCTGCTGTAGACAGATAAAATGTTATGAGCCATTTGGTGTTTATGCTGAGACTAATAATAATTTTAGCCCAGAGACTGGTAATTAGTTGATTCCATCAACCTACCTTTCCCTCTGTGGCCGGAAGCCTTGTTGGGATGAAGCATTGTCTCATCTCCACCGGTGACATAACTGGGCACGGACTCTCCCCTGCCGCGCTCCTTTCCCTTCTTCTCAAACGCTTTTCCTTCTCTTCACCACGTGCACTCCGCATAACGACCTTCAGGTCTGTGGATTAAATGTCACTTCTTCCATGACACCTTCTCTGACAAGGTCAACTGTTTTTACATGCTCTCAGCGTATAGCTCTCGTTCTTTGAATTAATCCTAGTTGTGATTTTGTTATCTAGGTAATGAATTGGATGCATTTTGTCACTGTCTCTGAAATATAATCTTGTGGAGCGCAGAGCCTGCACTGTGCCGGTGTGATCCTCCTTCTAAATCCCTCTTTGTACTGCCTGTCACAGAGCTGCAGGGAGCTGCTCAGAGTTTGTGGATGGACCCAGGTCACATGGATTCGCCTCCCTGTAAATTTCCTCTCTCTACATTCTCTCCCATCTCTTGCTCTTTGTCTCCCTGCATTTAATATTTCTGGTGCTGCAGATATGATTCTGGCAAACAGAAATAATGAAGCTTATCTTCTAAAAGAGAAAATAGATAAACGAGCAAAGTGATTTTCAAGAGTGATTCACGCTGCAAGGAAAATAAGGTTGATGGTGGGGAATTTAGGAGACGATGGTCAGAGAGGGCCTCCAGAAGTAGCTAATCTGAGCTGGGACTTGAGTGGTATGGAAAAGGTCAGTGGCAGTAAAGGGTGTGGGGAATTAGGATTCAGATGCAGAGGAATCTCTGTCTTCTTTTGTACCTCAGGGCCGAGTCCTGGGATTCAGGAAGGAATTTGTTACTCGGTAAGTGGTAGAACCCTTCCTGCCTTCCAGCCTGGCCATGAGTTGTAAGGGCCTTGACCTTTCGGGTCCTCGGTTTCCCCATCTGTAAAACGAAATGGTAGTCTTTCTCTGTATAAAAAGTAAAGAGTTAATCATTTCTGGGGTAACCTTTCTGCTTTTGAAGATGACATGTCTCTGAAGGAGCATTCCCCACCTCTTATGCTGGACATGTTCCAAGCACCCACATTGTGACCTCATGTGCTGGGCACTTCTCTGAGATTTAGCTCAGATTGCCCACTGTTTCCCCTCTTACGATCCAGTGCAGCAGACATAGCAGGCAACTGTTGTCCCCTGTAGGCTTCCTCACATTTCTTGCTTTCTGAACAGAATGCTCTTCCCCTCTAGAAGCCTACATTGTCTCCAGCACAGAGATCAAGCACGACCTGTGTCATGTTAGGAAGTCACCCCAGATCCTTGCAGGAACGCTCACCTCTCTCTTTTTAGCCGCCCCTTGATGCTTGTGCCTTTCGGCCATTGCCCATCTGAATGCCTTGTGCTTCAGGGATCCTAAATCACGCTGTGCAAATGGAGGTATTTGTTGAAAGTTTTAACGGCAAGCTAACAAGGGTCAACCGATGGGTTGCTTCTTGATGACATTTGTTATTAACATCAGAGAGTTACAGTTAATTAGCAGTGAGTTACCCATACGTAGGCCCATTGAGGAGCCAAGAGCAGCAGGCAGAGGTCCACTGGCATTGAATTTATCATCTCTGGTTTAACTTGCAGTTTTACCCAGATGAAAGATAAGCGCGCACACAAACAGAGTCTTGCTTTGGATTTTTGTATGCGGGGCAGAGTTCCCTTCTTAGGGTTTGGACCTCCTACCGTTAAGATTGTTTTTGGTATTACTGGTGCTAAGATAAGTAGCCCGCCATTATAAGTATATCCAGTCAAAGTCCACATATTCTGAGATTCGTGTGCAGGACCCTGGAATAACGACTGGGTTTCGTGGTGCTCTCTTCTTCCAAATTGCTATTTCCAATCCTGCCTCCCCCTGTAGTGGCAAATGAACCATTAGACTGGAAATGTATTGAGGAATAATCTTAGAAGTAGTTAAACTGGGCGGAGGTTTTATGAAATCACGCCACACGGGCGGCGCATTTCTGAGAAGGTGGGCCCTTAGAGATAGACTCGCACCTTCCTTCCACGAGGCAGATGTCCCTTACCTGGAGTAATGACAGCATCAGCACTTGGGCACAGCCCACTCGCCCTTTGTAAAGCCACTGGCTCTTGTTACGTATTTTCTAAGCACCCCATTATGGAGTAGAGGAGACAGGGAGGATCCTCGCGCTACATGAAGGGCAAGAGAGGTTCACTGCTATCAACTCATCCCGTCAAGATGGCTCCCCAAGGCAGTACCAGGTTTGTATTAGAGCCCAGGTCTGGGGCTTGTGGTGCTGTTTTTATTGTAGAAAGTGATGTGAACATCCGTTGTTAACGCTCCCACTTCAAGGAGCTACTGTAAAGCATCTTTTGAGAAGAGAAGGAGTAGCCAGGGCCTAGCAGATGTTGGGAAGGTAGGTTGGGAGGCAGGAGCACTGCAGAGGATCGGAGGAATACAGAAGTAGAGCAAATAGAGCCCAAGTAAAACTGAAGCCACCTGATGTGCCTGGTAACAGATCAGCACTTCGTGGAGTAGGCCTTGTGCCCTGGATTTCTTGAGGTATACTAGTGTTCCCTGTTTGATGCAGAGCTCACTTACTTCCCTTTAGAAATACACCCCTCCGTCTACTCTATGCTTCTGAATATTTCCATTAGCTTGAGATGATCATCGGTGTACAAGACACTTGTAGAAATAATGGGAAAAGATCTCATATACCATTGACTCAATTCTTTCTAATAGCAACAGCTTCCACAACTATGGATCGTCCCACCTGAGTGTTGGCACGGGCACAGATGAGATGCAGAGATGTTCATTGCTGCGGGATTATGTTGCCCTTTTATAAGGTCCATATGGCCCTTGTCATCTGTTTCCCATCTCCTCCCTCTTTGTTATCCCTGGAAACCATGAATCCATCTTTTATTTCTGCAATTTGATCCTAATGAAAATGTAGAAATTGGATCGTGCAATAGACCTTTCCAGGGTCCTCCCCCTACCCCCCTCCCCCGTACCGGGGATCGAACTCAAGACCTTGCGCTTGCAAGGCAGGCAGCAGAACCACTGAGCCACATTCCCAGGCCAACCAGGACTCCTTTATTTTCCCCCCAGAAGTAAGCTCTGGAGAGCCATCCAGTTTGTCGCGTGGATTGACACTGCCGTTCCTTTATCTTTCTGCCCGTCTGAGTAGCGTTCCACACTTCCTATAATAAAATTCACTTAGCCATGAGCCATTCACCTGGTAACAGGATCTGCAATGTTTGCAGTTTGGGACAACTGTGGAGAAAACTGCTCTAAACTTTTGTGTATGAGTTTTTTTCTGATTATATATTTTCATTTCTTTGAGGTAACTGCCTAGGATTACATTTGCTAGGTTAATGATAGTTACTTTTTTTTTTTTAATCATGGATCAGACTCAGGACCTTGGACTTGTGAGCCAGGTGTGGTTTCACTGAGCTAAAGCCCGAGCCCCACATTTTATGTTGTGAGAAACGACTAAGCTAGCGGCGGTAAACCTGTGGCCCAAGTACCGCAGCGGGCTGTTTGCAGAACTGGAAGCTTTAAAAGGTCCGCTATCGTAGGGCTACACTGTTTCCCATATGATTATGTCATTTTACCTTCCTATCAAATACGTGATCAAGGGAAGTCCTTCCAAATCATCACACGTATTAGGTGGTTTTGCGGGTTTTTTTTAATCACTCTTATGCTGGGTGGATCATAACTCCGCACTGTGGTTTAATTTGTGGTTCTCTAATGGCTGTTGATACTTAACCTTCTTCTCGTGTACTTGTCAGCTTTTTATCTGTGACTATCTATTCGAGTGCTTTGCCGGTTTACTAATACACATACTTGATTTTTTCAGTTGTACTTGAAGAAGTCTTCATATTTTGCAGATATTAGTCATTTGTCAGATATGTGTTTTGTAAATATTCTCTCCCACATGTAGCCTGCCTTTTCACTTCTTAGAAGTCTCACAGAGCAAAAAAAAAATTAATATTAATAAATCCATTTCTTGTAAAAGAGTATACATTCTCTTTTAGTGTCAAAGAACTATTTGTCTAGCACTAGATGTGAAATATTATTTCCTTTTAAAACATTTTTGTGCTGTGCATTTTATATTTAAGTCTGAAACATTTTGACTTAATTCTTGAGCTATGAAGGTTAGGTTCATATTTATTTTCTGTTTTGCTTGTGGATGGCCATTTCCCCAGCATCACTTATTAACAAGTTACTTTCAGACCTTTCATACCTGTGAAAATTGGTTGCTCATCTTTCTAAATTTTATTCCTTTCCTTGGATCAAATGATTACACCTTCACCAGTGCCGTATGGGCTTGATGAGTGATACAAAATATCGAATCTTTAAGTCAGGGAAACTAATGTCTCCTACTGCTTTTCTTTGGGAAGTGGTGTTATCTCTTTTAATTCCTTGACTTGTGCTTCTGCATGTTTTTTGAAGTTCCCTGTATTTGCAGAAAAGCTTGCTGGGATTTTGACAAGAATTTCATTAAACCTATACACTGGTTTGAGGGACAATTGACCTCTTTACTATGTTGCATTTTCTAATTGATAAACAAAGTGTGTCTATTTATATATTTGCTTCTTTCAACAGTTTTTAACTTTCAGTATATAATTCTATAAATGTCTCATTATATTCATCTAAAAACTTCACTTGCTTTGATCCATTATTAATCACTGTATTTGAAAAATTCTGATGAACAGGTGCTCATTACTAATGTATAATGTAATCAGTTATTTTTCTGTCTTTATGTTATGTCCATGACCTTGCTCAATCCATTCATGTGTTACATACTTTTCTATGGGTCCTTGATTTTTCTCTGAAGAAGTTATATCACCCACACATACAGTTTTACTTCTCACCATCTGATCTGTATGATTTCTCTTTCTTATCTCCTTTACTGGTCAGACATCCAGCACTATGCTGAATCAGGGTGGTGGTACATCCTAGCCTTGTTCCTGATCTTAGAGAAGAAGCGCTGGCCTTTTATTATTCCCTTTTGAATATGTAAGTGGTACGATGTTTTTTTTGTTTTGATTTACTTACTTTTTATAGATGTTCTTTATAAAGTTGAGGATGTTTCTCTCTGTTCCTACATTTCAGAGTTAGTTTTTGAATCATAGGTCTTTAATTCTGTCAGAAGCTTTTTCCTGTGTCAGTTGACACATCATCTATTTTTCATCTTCAGTCTGTTAATATAGCGAATTATATTGACAGATTTTTTTAACATGGATCCAGACTTGTATCCAAGGAGTAAACTTTACGTAGTCATAGTTCATACGTCTTTTCGCATATTGCTAGATTTTTGAAAGTAAGGGATGTTGATGTGTACTTTTCCTTGTATTGCCACTGCCCAATTTAAGTGATACTAGTTTTGTAAAGGGATCGAGAAGCATTTTTTTCTTCTTTACTTTAAAAGAAATGATGTAGTCAGAGTTACTTATTTTTAATCATTGGGTAAAAATATTCTATGAAACCATTTAGGCTTGGAGATGACTTTACTAGAAGTTTTAGAAATATAAATGCAATTTCATGATTATAGGGATTCACATTTTTTACAGCATTTCTTTTATAGTATATTGAGTATGTTGTGTTACTTTAAAGAAATCGGTTCATTTCATCTAAGTTGGTCGTGTGTACACAGTTTTTCATTGTATTCCATTTTTGTCTTTTTCTGTCTTTAGAGGCCGCAGTGATATTACTATTACTGGTAATGTTTTCTTCTCTTTGCAGATCTTGGTAGAGGTTTGCCAATTTCATTGATTTTTCCAAATAAACAGCTCTTTATTCACTGATTTTTCTGTATTTTTCTGGTTTTTGTTTCGTTGGTTTTATTGTTTCCTTCCTTCTGCTGGCTTTGTTTTCCAGATTTTTGAAGTCAGAGCTTAGGTAATTGCTGTAAGAGTTTTGTTCTTTTCTAATGTGTACATTTAATGCTATATATTTCCCCATCTGCAGTAACTGTGTCATATGATTTTTTGACTTGTTGTATTTTTATTTTCATTTATTTCAGCAGCATTTTTAAATATATCTGAGATGTCTGCCTTGACCCATGGATTATCTAGAGGTGTGTTGTCTAGTTTTGTGTATTTAAAGCTGTTGCTGTTATCTTATTTTGATGTATAGCTTTATTCCACTATGATCATGAGACAGACAAGATGTGCCTGACGTTTCTATTTTCCTGTGCCCACTAGAGTGGGGCATGACCTGGCTGGTGGCTGTTGAGCCTGCCCCTCCTTTCCATTCGTTCATTCTTCTCCCTCTGGTGGACTAGGACTCCGTGCCTCTGTGACCTCACAGTACTGAGTGGCCAATCTTATCCAGGACAGTCAGGCCTGACTGCAGCTCAATGGCCAAACACTGTCACTTGTTTGGGGAAAGAAGGGGGCGCCCTCACACGGGTCAGATCAGGGAAAGAGGGATCTGGGCCCATTGCTAATGTCCCCAAGCTCCTCAAACCCCAGTTAGCTGTGGTGAGTACAACTAACCTTCCTGAAGATTCCCTGATTTTAGAGCCACCATTTTCCCCAGAAACAAGACAGCTTTCAGTCAAACTGCTCCTGTTGTCCTTTCTGTATCCTCTGTATCCTCGCTGAACCTCCATTATGACAGCTGCAGCACTTCTGGCACCCTGCACCCACTTAGACCAATCAGCAGTTCAGAAGTTGAACCAATCACAGATCTGCAATTGGACCAATCACGGGCCTGCAGCTGCACAGTTCTTGGGTCAGTCTAGGAGGGCTCCTTCTAGTGTACTGAACACGCTGTGCTGCAGTGCAATCCTTTACAAGTTCAGGCTCACTTTTGGAGTCTTGTAAATCTGCTCATGATTTACTTCTTAGGTAGTGTAGACTCTAGTGATCTTGTAAATCTACTCAATATTCTCACCCTGAGAACTGTGGGCAGAATGAATGTCTCAGAAGAAACAGCAATAAACAGTACAGCTAGCTCCAGAAACCAGAAGCCAGTAGAGATCGGCAGAAGAGGTCAACACCTGGCAGAGTCAACCTTCAGCTTCTGGAACAAGTAGCACCAGATGGCAGTGGCTGGGCACTGACCAGCAACCAGCTGGGTCAGCTGTTGGCATCCAGCATCAGCTGGTGACATCAAGACTGCTAGCAGAGCTATGCTTTGCCAGTTCATGATTTCCATCTGAATTGAGCAGAAAAACAGTCAACTGACTGACAACAGTCAGATAAATTATTCTGCATAATTTCCTTTTTTTTCTTTGACTCTTTGCATGAGG